TGTTTGTGTGATACATATGAACACAGATTCATCCTCCGTATCCTTTCTCATGCAGGAAGTTGAAGGAAGAGCAGAAACATTGCATAGAGAAACTCAGCTGCAGTATTGTTGTGATGAAAGGTTCTCAACCGAAAGTCCTCAGACTTAATTTGGGATACTCAGATGAACCTCAGACACCTTACTTTTCTGCTGCCTCTTCCCCAGCCTTAGATAGTGGTCGATTGCAAAGCTTTAGGATGAAGCATGCTACTCCTATTAGCAGCCCTGAATACCAAAGTAGTTCTTTCTCAAGAACCACTGGAGAGGCTTCATTGTCAACCTTTGACATACCGCCTTCTCCCTACCATGTTTTTGAGCAGAATCCTCTGTTTGAGGGACGGAATAAAGGAAGACTGACGCCTGCTTGTTCTCCACTTAACGTAATGGTAGCTGATAAGGAAAGGTTAATTTACCCTAACAGAGAGTCTAGTGAATTTGTAAAAAGTAACCGACATAATGAATTTTGGGTCCCTGAAAACCATGCTCATAATGAAAGGGCTGCACTAGCTTCAGGCTATAGATACTCTTATGAATCCAACTCTGCAGCTCCCGAACTTATGGGTAATAAGCATATTCAGCGAGATTGTGAATCAAGAAGTGGACTGCTTAAGATTGACAACAGTCACAAAGAAGACAATGTCAGTAATGCAACTCCTCGTGATTCTTTCTCTATGGCCAGAACATCTTCTGCTCCACCTCCTTTATGTTCAATTTGCCAGCATAAAACACCAACATTTGGAAAACCTCCAAGACGTTTTACTTATGAGGAGTTGGAGGTAGCAACAAACGGATTTTCAGATGATAATCTCTTGGCTCAAGGTGGATTTGGTATTGTGTATAGAGGAGTTCTATTGGATGGGCAGGTTGTTGCTGTGAAACAATTAAAGTTTGTGGATTCTCAAGGGGATACTGATTTCTGTAGGGAAGTTCGGGTATTGAGTTGTGCCCAGCACAGGAATGTTGTGTTGCTGATTGGCTTTTGTGTTGAGGGCAAGAAGCGATTGTTGGTTTATGAGTATATCTGTAATCACTCGTTGGACTTCCATTTACATGGTAAGGCCTTCCCTTTAACATAATAGGGTTCGTGGTATCTGCATTTTTCATGCATATGTGTTGGATTTTATCTCTTATGTGTACACTTCATATGATTTTTAGGGAACAAATCATCCCCTCTGGATCTGCAATCTCGCCTGAAGATAGCAGTTGGTGCTGCAAGGGGCTTAAGATATCTCCACGAGGATTGCAGAGTAGGATGCATAATCCATAGAGATCTACGACCAAGCAATATACTCTTAACTCATGATTACGAACCTTTGGTAATTTACACTAACACTTCTTTTTCCTTAAATAGGCAACTTTGCTTATATGATAGTCCTATACTCCTTAAAATAATTGCAATTACATGAAACACGGTACTGGACTATAGGTACCTATTTTATGTAGCCATAAGCTAGATTAATCATCATCTTCTTCTCCATAGTAATCTGTGTTTAAAGCGGATTATCAAAGTCTTTTTAGTTGATTGACTGTTGAAACAGAACATCTGATCCTATTGTCAACATCTTGCAGGATAATAGAACCATTTTTTAATGCTTTTTAGTTTTACTACTTAATACTGTATGTTTTGCAAGGATTGTTAGGCTAATGTCTGTCATTTTGTATTTAATCTGAATTTAAACATTCTATATATGTCTAGGTTGGCGATTTTGGGCTGGCAAGGTTGCATTGTGAGTGGGATATTGGCGTCGAGCAACAAGTCATTGGTGCTACAGGGTAAAGAACATATCCTATTATTTAACAATGAAGTAAACAAATTTGCAGCTTGAATAAATTGTGATTTTAATTTTACGTAATGCAGATACTTGGCACCAGAATATTTCAATGGCGGTAGCATCACTGAAAAACTTGATGTATATGCATTCGGAGTAGTATTGGTGGAGTTGATTACTGGAAAAAAGGTCAAGGAGCTTCACCAAGAAAAGGGGTTTTCCTCTTTGGCTCAGCTATTTGACCCTTTCGCTGCATTAGAATCAAATCAGATTTTGAAATCAACGTTTTCTCCTAAGGAACTTCAATGCATCCCACATGAGATACAGACAATGGGTCGTGCAGCCTCCTTGTGTCTTCGCAATGACCCCGAGTCCAGACCCTCCATGTCAAAGGTCTTTCTACATCCTATTTCTTAGTATCATTCATCACATAATTTTTAAGTACATTGCTTTTACACTTGTAAAGTTTGCAACTTATTCTTAGTAAATGTTAACATTTATTGTTTGTACTTCCTACTCAAAAAACTGCAGGTGCTTAGAATACTCGAAGGTAGCAACACTCCAATGCCTATAGGCTTGGACTTGAATTCAGTTGGTAGCCAAAGCGGACATATGCAAGGGTTAAATACTCGTAGACACTCCGAAATGCGGAAATGCCACTCTCGTAAGCTTTCACAGTAACAAGAATGTAGGACTAATAGCAGGGATCAATACTACAAAATGCAGTGTTATACTACTTTTATGTGCATATATTACATGATTCAAAAGAAAATAGATATAACCTGAATTAGATGTATATTTAGTATTTTTCCTATTTACTTTGATCAAAGATGAACCACAGGTTTTGCTGCAGTCTCCCCCTCCATCCATTAATTTCATATACTAGTAATTCTTGAAAGTTTTTTTTTTTTTTTTTTTTTTTTGGAGTGTAGTGTATTATTTTGTCCTTGTTCTCTGTACTGTACTTTTTGGGAATTTTCACTCTTCTGCTTGATTCAGTTACAGTATTCTTGTATTATACGAGTATAGGAATTTGTCGTGTTGAGAACTCTTGGATTTTATAATCATTGTTTTTTTTGGTGTTCTACCCGGTTCACCCTTTAGGCTAATCCGGATTTGGGGATCAGTTCTGGGTGGTTAGGTTCCAATCCCCTCCCGATTGTTGTTGCGGGGGATCGAACACGAGTCCTCCCTACCAAGTGTAGTCCCAATCACCACTACATCAACAACCAATTGGTTTTTATAATCATTGTTGGTATTCACTCTTAATGTTTTTATTTATTTCCATTCAACTGCACCATTATGACCTACACATTTTTTATGTACATAAACAAAATGAAATGAGATATTGTGGATGTGAAATTGGTTGAGCAATTTTAAATTATGTGATAGGTTAATTATAAGAAAGTAATGGTTAAATTAGGTCAAATAACTTAAACACTAACAAGGAAGGGTTAGGTAACTAGTTTTTTTTTTTTATTTTGCTTATTTATTTGTTTAACTTCTAATCTTCTATAATACTGTAGTACTGTACTACTTTTCCATGCATGTGATGCATGCTTTTAGAGCTGGCAATCCTAACTCGACCCGCATGACCCTACCTGTAATCCGAAATTGACCCAAAAATGTAAATCCAAAATTGACCCGAACACAAAGTTGATCAGACCCGACCCATACCCGACCTAAATTGGAGTTGACCCAAACTTGACCCGATACCCGAATCAACCCGACCGGAGTAACCCAATACCCGAATTGACCCGACCCAAAATTGATCCGATACCACAAAGCGACCCAATCCGAAGTGAACCAAAACCCGAAGTGACCCGACCTGATTTTGACCCGAACGGACACGAAACCCGAAGCGCCCTAAACTATACCCGAAATGATCCGACCTAAAATTAACAAATACTCATAATGATCTAACTGATTTAGGGCTTAATTACTTTACGCAAATAAACACTTATTGAAAAATAACCTTAATTAAACAGTACATTATTCAGTATTGTGTATAATACTGTTAAAATGTGCATGTAATTTATTACTTTATATCTCTTTAAGAGTTCCATTTGACTAGGAGCACTAGTTTTAGTTATTGTTATTATTACTATTAGGCCCTGTTTGATTCACTTTAATTTTGCTGAACTGAAATTATTTTTACTGAACTGAACTTATTTTTACTGAACTGAACTTATTTTTACTGAACTGAAATTAATTTTACTGAACTGAAATTATTTTTACTGAATTTAAATTATTTTTACTGAACTGAAATTATTTTTACTGATTTTCTATTATAATTCTTCTTTAAGAAAACCGAATTTTACTGAACTGAACTTATTTTTACTGAACTGAAATTATTTTTACTGAACTGAAATTAATTTTACTGAACTGAACTTATTTATACTGAACTGAAATTATTTTTACTTAATATTATTTTTTTAAGGTGAAGAGAACAAGGCCTTACTCTTAGTTTTTTCTTTAATTGTTACATTGAAATTTTTTTCACTGTTCACTTTATCTAATTTGAATTTTTGACCAATTAATCAATGATTGTGATCATAACAATACAATCTTGTGTATACAGTACCGTTGGAATTGTCAAATGAATATATTATTAATATTCAACAATTGTTATACTCTATACTTATTGATAATTATATTATATTATTGGTCAAATTTTTACATCGACATAGATAAAAATTAACCTAACTTGAATAGACCCGACCCAAACTTAATCCGACCCGAATTGGACTTGACCCGATAACTGGACCCAAAGACTAACCCTATCCAAACTCAACCCGAAGTGTTGACCCGATACCCGATCTGACCCGAATTACCATTGACTCGAAGCTGATCCGAAACCCGAATTAACCTGAACCGTCTGAACCTAACCCGAATGACCCGTTTTCCAGGTCTACGTGTGTTACACATTAATTAATAATTTACATCATTAGTTTTAATCAATACTCAGTATTAAAAATTTTATCAAAATCTAATGAAGTAAGAATTAAAATGGTTTAATACGTAGAAAAGTTTAAACTAAACAATAGAGAAAAGTAAATCAACTAATTGTATGATAATTATTATCAATAGAGTAATATATATTTTTTTTTAATAAAGAAAACCGATTGGGAATATATTATTATCAATAGAGTAAGATTTAATTATCACAGAGTAATGTGGGATATATTTTGATTTATTTTGAGGATATATTTTGTTACCTATTTTATGCCTTGTGAATATCTTTTAGGTAGTTTCCTAATTCTATCAAATTAGGGAATAACTTGTATTATATATTGGCCATGGGAGTAATCAATGAATTCAAGCCTTGTTGTTTTATATAATTTAGCATGGTATCAAGAGCAGATTGAATTTCTTTCGTTTTTTTTTCTAAAATTCCTCAAATATGGCCGGAGATGATATTCCTCCGCCACCTCCACCGACTGAAATTAAACCCAATTTCCCCTTCTACCTTGGGTCGCAAGACAGACCTGGGGATTTTATTACTCCTACACGACTCAAAACTGACAACTATGATGATCGGGCGTTGGATATGCAGACTGCCTTGGAGGCAAGGCGTAAATTTGGGTTCTTGGATGGTTCAATCACGGCGCCTATTCCTCCCTGCACTTCGTCAGATTGGACAGCCATCAGCGCAATGTTGATCTCGTGGATTACCAACACCATTGATCTAGAGGTAAGGTCGTCCCTTTCTAAATTTCGTGAAGCTAGGCCCTTATGGCAGCATCTATAACAGAGGTTTGCTCAGACTAATGGTCCTAGAATTCAACAATTAAAATCTTCTATTGCTAAGTGTGAACAAACTCGCTCTATGCCTGTCTCGGTTTATTATGGTAAATTTCATGCTTTGTGGCAATAATTTTATCACCACGAGCCTCTTATTTCTTGTTCTTGTTGTTCGAAGTGTATTGCGGGTCAATTACATGAAGCTAGGCGACAGCAATCAAAATTGCATGATTTTTTAATGGGTTTATATTCTGCTTTTTATGTCTTGTTATGCACTAATATTTTGTCTCAAGACCCTCTCCCTAGCCTAGATCGTGCCTATCAATTGGTTGTACAGGAGGAAAGGGATCGTACAGCAAAGCAGGAAGCCGAATCAAAGCCTGCTGAGGCTCTTGGGTTTGCTGTCCGTACAGCTGCTGGGCGTGGGAATGAGGGGACTGATCATGGTCGTGAGGGGTATGGAACCGTGTGTGCTAAGTGCAAAAAGGTGGGTCATGAAACCTCCTGTTGCTGGTCGGATAAGATATGCAATTACTACAAAAAGAAAGGTCACGTGGAGTCTAAATGTTTTGAACTTCATGGTCGACCCCCTCTGAGAGATGGCAGCCAGGGGGGAAGATTTCGGCTGGTCGTGGACAGGGCATAGCACGGGTCAATGCCGTGGCTTCTAATGACAATTCTTCTTCTCTTGGTCAAGTATTCTCTAGCGAGAAATGGAAAGCTATTACGGGATTGTTTGGTAATGCAAATATTTCCGAAACCCGATTGAATGGTAAGTTTGATGATACTTCATGGATTATTGACACAGGAGCAACGCATCATGTTACCGGTGAAAAATTTTGGTTATTTGATACTAAGAGTTTCGAATGTCCTGTTGGTTTGCCTAATGGTCAAACCGTGGTGGCTTCTTTGGTTGGTTTGGTTCGTTTGTCGAACAAGATTACTCTTACATGGTTTCTTTTTGTACCACAATTGAGTTGCAATTTGATTTCTGTGTCTCAGCTTATTGAAGAGCTTAATTACATTGTCCAATTTAACTCTTATATGTGTGATATACAGGACCAAACGAAGGAGCTGATTGGAACGTAGCTAGGAGAGACGAATTATATTATTTTAGCAATTCGGATTCGGTGCATTTTGTCGGCATTGGTGAAGCGACCTTGTGGTACCCATATTTTTTACTAATTAAAATTAGAAGTCAAGATCTCACGTAAGTCGATAATTTGACTAAAAAAATAAAAATTAGAGTCGCCACTCTGTTTTTGCCCGAATAGAGACGGTCTTTTTGTTTATGATCGTTTTCAAATAGAAAATGACATTGACTCCATTAGACAAGGCACTATATAAGTATGGTCTTAGGAAAATCAGTGATCTAGGTACAGGGTATAAGTTAGGAAGATCGAACGTTTGGAACTCGTCTCTTCCTCTGTTCTAACGAACAGGCTCTTACTAATACGTTGTTAATTGGTTATGATTATTCACATACTTTTCCTTAAACTAATGCATAAAAACATGAAAATTTCCACATTGTCAATCACACTCAAATGTAAAATAAAAGTGAATTAAACCTTACGATATATGGTGGGTTTGAGCATTAAAGTTGCACTACGTACCGTTCATTATGGGATTTGAATCCACTCCCGGATCAAAACCCTACGTAGTTCTTACTAACGTCCATTTATACATGGTCGAAATTTCATACGAGGTTTCAAGAAGGTTTTTATTTTTTTTGGGAGAGGTGGTCGATCCATATAGGGTCATTTGAATGAGGTTGAGCAATCTTGCTTTCACAATTTATCAAGGTTGAGGAAGTCACTAGAACCAGCGACACCATAGGAGTTTCTTTGAGAAAATGATTTTGTTTGTAAAATGAGTTTCAATTAACGACTTTATTTAGGGTTGACAAACTTCCAAAAGGAGATTGTGTGGGCTTATTTGAGTGTGCTAAAAAGGGAATTTTATTTGGTATGAATTGAGAAGAATATGAAGGAAATGTGTTTAGATTGTATGAAATTGACTTACGCAGAATGGACATTCTATATGGCTTAAATCTAAATGATAGGTAGTATATGTTGAAAACCTTAATCATGTTAGATTAAGTAAGCGACCTATCAGAGATAATAAAACTTTAAAAGTATAATTCTCTGCGGCAAATGGATCATCTTATAACCTATCATGATTGAATATTCAACTTTACCCTCTTATTTAAATATAAGCCATAAACCATACTCGAAAGATTTATTTTATTAATGAAATGATACAAGCATGCAAGGCCATATTTTGCTTAATTAATGCATAAGGAAATTTTGCTCTTCAGAACGATGATGGAATTAAAATTTAAACAAGATTGATTTAAAAATTATAAGACATTCTGTTCCAAACTAAATGAATTATTTATAATGCTCCTTTCAAATAGCCATAGGATGAAGAAGACTTTTTTTTTTTTTTTTTTTTTTTTTTTTTTTAAAAAAAAAAAAACAAGTGTTAGTCTTAAAGTGATACAAATGTGTCTCTTTTTTGGATTAATATCAACTTGAGGCATCAGTAATTTATAGCTTCCTCAAATGACTTAAAAAACTAGAGGTACACATAATAGGGTGACATAATTTATATAATAATATTCATTCCATTTTTCCTTAAAAAGATTAAGGGTTTAAAGTGTCTCTAATATTTCGGACACTGATTAGGGGATTTTTATCCACCAATCAGCATCCGACACGTGGGCCAGCCAGGTTTCGCCACGTGTCCTTCATGTAGGCCAATAGGAGCCTGCCACGTGTCATCAAGAGATTCGTCCTCCTTGGACCAATTGCAATGTGACACGTGTCCACCCATGCCAAATGGGAAAACCGGCCAACAAGGCCCAATCATTGTGGGAGGCCCAGTCAGCCTTAGGTTTAACCTAAACCTAGTACTGGCACGCATCCCAAGGCATATAAATATGCCCATTAATCCTCATTAAGAGAGATTACGCACATTTAACACTCTCACCTAGAGAGACCCAATTACTTTTATTTCCGCACTAATTACTCCTTAATCAAGTACTAACTTGACCGTCGGAGGCGGATCTCCAATCGTCCGGAGCATCCGTTTGTTTTGCAGGTACAGGCGTCCGGTTCCAGTCTCAGAATTGTAACTCTCCCGCAGGACATCAGAAAACCCCGAAACATTTTGGCGCAGTCTGTGGGGAGAGTACTTCTGAGATGGCATCCACGTTTGTACCGACTCCTGAAGAGAGGCGTCCCCTGGACGACCCTCAAGTTCAGTTGGACCATGATACTGAGGAAGAATTTGAAGTTGAAGCTCACACAGCTTCAGACGGGACCCTAAGGGCCCGACGCACCCGTCATACCGAAAGGAGAGAACGGGAAGATCTTCAAACTGGACTCAGTGATCCAGCCGGCGCACCGCCTGTTCAGCAGCAGCCGGCTGATGGGTCTGCTCCCATTACAAGAAACGAACTCATGACCTTCATGAGGGGCTTCAAGGGAGAGATTCAAGAGTTGCTCAACAAGAAGCCGCCTACTCTGGCCAAGGAGCAGTCGGCTAAGAAACCTTCCTCTTCGGGGAAGAGGAAGCCTGTTCAAGGGCGAGAGGCGACCCCTCATCCTAACTCTAGGAAGTGGGAGCCGCCTGTCCTTGATTTCACAAAGTACCGCTTTCCTACTCCAGGAAAGAGGAAACCTGTTCGTCATATTCAGGCGGACGGGTCGAAGAAAACATACACAGATGCTCGGCTATTGCTAGAGCAGAAGAAGAATGACCGATTGTCAGAGTCGGCCTCTACTTCAGACTTCCAAGACAGTCTACGCAATACCTCGATGAGGTATACTCAGTCGCATCATGAGAGTCAGTCAGGCGGTACCTCCCGTCAGTCCGGCTTTCATAGTGACCAGGCGGTACCAAACTTACCATTTGTGCCGCAACAACAATATTTTTTGCAGCCACCTCTGTTTGGAGGGCATGCAGCAAAGAATGTCCAACCTATGGACTGGCAGCTACGGTTGCTTAGACTTGGGGAACAACCGTCGGCCTTCTCCAAGGAAATTATTGAAGCCGCTCAGCTGGCCAAAGTGAAAAATGTATTAGTAGGCGCCTATGACGGCACTACTAACCCAGAAGACCATTTGATGGCATTCACCAACCTGATGTACCTTCAAGGGTTGGATGATCCCACTTGGTGCAAGTGTTTTCCAGCGACTCTCAAAGGAATCGCACAACAATGGTTCGGCAACCTGCCGACTGGTTGTGTGAATAACTTCAGGACGCTTGCTTACTTATTCACCTCCAACTTTGCCATGAACATACCTGCGAAGAAGACGACCCTTGATTTAGGAACGATTCAGCAGGGCGAGAAGGAGGGGCTTCATTCTTACATCAGGCGGTTTAACCTGATGAGAATACAGATTCAAGGGTTACCGGATGAGGTAGCCTATACTGACTTTTTTAGAGGCCTCAAAGACGGGTCGACATTCAAATTTGATTTGGTTCGAAAGAGGGTGGCGACTCTTCAAGAGGCCTTGATTGAAGCGGAAGCCTATATACAGGCGACTGATCTTTGTAGTACGGGAAAACAGTCGGACGGGAAAAGGTTCGACAAAAGAGAAGGACGACAGAAACAGTCGTCGAACAAAGATGAGAAGAAGAGAAAAGAGGTCTGGGCGGCTGATTCCTCTAAACAGCCGGCCCAGAAGAAGAGGAAAGAATTCAAACCATACTCCCCAAAGTATGCGTTTAACAAGGATAGCCAAGCTATCCTAAAGGAAATCAAGGGACGGATCTCAATTGAGAAGCCGACCCCCATGAAGGGTTCTGCAAGCAACCGGAACCAAGAAAAATTCTGTGATTATCATGAAGATGTTGGTCATCACACCAACGAATGCATCAGTCTCATGCGGTATCTGGACCGCCTGGCTGAGCAAGGCGATCTTGACTCTTATGTCAAGAAATCTACGGGGAACACTTCCTCGAAAAAGCAGTCGGCCAAAAAGAGTCAACAGGCCGACAACTCTGATACAGATGATGCAGTCGTCTACACCATTGCAGGCGGCTTCTCAGGAGGCGGCCCCACTATTAGGGGCAACAAAGACAATATCAGGCGGCTAGACGTAAATTCCGTTCACCAAGAACGACCCTCCAAATATTCATTTCCTGATATTGTCATCACTGAAGAAGATCTAGGAGGGGTAAGGGGGCCGCATGACGACCCTATCGTTATTGAATGTAAAGTGGCCAACCAGAGAGTTGGCCGAATCCTTATAGATACTGGAAGCTCCTCAGATCTTATCAGTAGCAAATGTCTGTCAAAACTCAAATATCAGCCTGATTGCATACATCCGGCATCCCACCCTTTAGTAGGGTTTGGAGGAGGAGTCGTCCACCCAGTGGGACGAGTGGATTTACCCATCCACCTGGGTGAAAAAGGGGAAGGACGACACATGGTAGTCCGGTTCTTGGTAGTAGAAGAACTCTCGGCCTACAACATGATTCTGGGACGACCAACCCTGAATAATTCCAAGGCTGTTATAATCCCATCTCTTATGTTGCTCAAGTTTGAGAGGGATGATGGAACAGTCGGGTCCCTAAGGGGAGATCAGAGGATGGCCCGAGAGTGCTATCTCTCGGATATCAAGCCCACTGTTATGGCCGCTGGGTCAAGTGGTGGAAAAACAGACCTTGACAATGTCAAGGAGAGTGCGCCTATTCAAGAAGGAGGCGGCAAGAAGAGAAAGGCAGCCCAGACGGGGGCCGCAAGAAAAGACAGAAAATAGCAATCATTGGCAGAGGAGCGGTCGGATGAATTCCGCCCTCAGTCGGCTGGTGAGCATACGGACCTGATCTTAGACGACTCGCGTCCTGACCGAACAGTCAAAGTTGGGACGACTGCTCTGAGAGTCCTGGGTGACGACTTTCACAAACTATTGAAAGAATACAAGGACATCTTTGCATTCGAAGTCCACGAAATGCCAGGCATTAGTCCTGACTTGGCGGTACATAAACTGGCTGTGGATCCGAAAAAGAAGCCGGTAAGGCAGAAGAAGCGGAACCATGGCGAAGAAAGAAGTCAGGCGGCAAACGCCGAAGTTAAAAAATTACTTGATGCAGGGTTCATTCGGCAATGTTACTTCCCAGACTGGGTTGCAAATGTGGTGCTTGTTAAAAAGCCGAATGGCACCTGGCGAATGTGTGTAGACTACACAGACTTAAACAAGGC